AAAAAAACGACCCAAGCTCCCTCCCCCTTCCTTTCTGATTGGTTTCGAAGCCGCGCCTACTTTTTCGTGCACGCACCAGTCAAAAGGCGTGCATAAGAGAGATTAATAATTTAAATATTTGAGTATTTAATTATAATTTATTATACAGTTCCTCACAGCAGCAGAACGCTCCATTGATTTAAAATTTCAAAACGTTCTACCATTACATTTTACGTTCTATTATTTCTTGATAACGGACTCTCAAACCAATAATGACCGCTGCCCTTTGGCAATGCACAAAGTGCTTGTACTTCAGGTGTGTAAAATACTAACATTACTCTGGACAGTAGTTTGCACACATCGTCAGCGGCTGCCATTTAGCTTCTCTTGCTCAGACAGAAGTAATATCGAAGCTAGCCAAACTCAATAACACAAATATCAATCAATCAACACATTTTAATGTTAATCAGAGAATACATTATACATACACAATATTAACAAACGTGCACGGAGGTTTTCAGAATTATCTGTTCACGTTTTCATGACAAAATTACTGTTTTAATGTGACAAAAAGCGATCGCAGTAAACCCGGAAGTAACCATTAACATTAAATAAACATTTTAGGACACATTTGCAGAGGATCTGATTATGGATTTAGGTCAAGTTTGTATTTGGTTCACTCACCGCTAATGTTCATAATGCTTTGTTCACTTTTCATGTAGTTCCAGAGAGTTCTAGCTAGTTACCCCTCTAGCCACGTCACGACAAAACCTTTGGGAACTTACTATTTCATATATATCATTTAAAAAAAGATAATGCCCATTACAACTTCAAATATAATGATATAATGCTATTATTATTGACAGCCCTTGGCATCACTTGATTGGTTTAAGTGGACGGCATTGTGGATTTTGAGCTATGGCTAAGAGAAGGGAAGGCGGGACTTACCCGTAATATTATAATTCACAAAATGACTTATTTTGTCAACATTTAAGGCCAGGAGGTCAATTTGATACAATTCTTAAAATGTGTAATTCATTTAGCGTTCCAGACGATCACTTTAATAAATAAAACAATTTAAAAAGGTAAATGTTGCACCCAGAGCTGGGGTCTCCTATACAGTACATATGCAGTATGTAGGGCCCTGCAAGAGAACTGGGGCTCAAAATCTGAAGGCTGGCTGGGATGTTAAAAAGTGTATTTAGTCGTTGTTTAGTTGTTGTTTCTTTCATTTGTTTCATAACAGCAGAGTTATGACTGCTTTAAGAACACGGCACTGTAGTAGGACAATTTACCATACAATCTGCAAAAAAAACATAACGCAGGAGGAGCCCAGGAGTCAGTTCTATTTCTGTCTTGGGTCCAGAGTGTGTGCAGTGACTGGCTCTGCTGTGAGAGGGGCGGAGCACATGGAGAAGAGGGTCACATGGGTCACACAGGGTTTGACATGAGACAAAACAAAGCAACAAAATGTAACCGTAAGAATCATGTATGAGCATGTATCGTGTTTGTCATCATGGATTATTGGGGCATTCTGACAAAGTTACCATTTTGAAAAATATAAATATACATACAATATATATTACTTCTCAAAAGTGGATTCATGTGGATTTTTGTCCGTCAAGCCACAATTATTAATGATATGACACATTAACTTTAAATTATGTCTATATTTTGGAAGAAAAAAAAAGTCAAGTAATCTGATCCTTATAAAGACATTGGAGCCCTAATCTGATGTTTAGGGCCCCAAATATGGTAGCACTGGCTCTGGTTGTACCCTATTCTCTGTCAAGAAGAAGTCAATCATAAGCGTTGGAGGAATACCAGCTGGATCCAGATCAGACTTGTGCACAGTGCACTATACTTTCACAGACGTTTTTTATTACAAATTCCTGTCTAAAGAAACACAGATGATGGCTGCTAACAACTGAGCCAAGTGTTTTTTAGCAGCATTCTAAACTGATTGGGATGTTATTTGACACAGCTCATTAAAGTGGAGCAGGAGAAAAGAAAACATGCCAATATGATTTTAAATGCTCTAAATAAGACAAAAAAAAACTTTAAGTCAAAGACAAACAGGACTTGCAGCAATAAATCACCATATGGTATGTGTCTCAGCGCCCACACTGAAGCTCGTCATTGCTGTGACCTTGGTGCTGCTTTGTTGGAAGTGGTAATGTTATGGAGGCAAAGCCCTCTAATGGATAACTTCACATATGCTTACATACTGATGAACACATGAGACATACATGTGGTGAAGAAATACTCTTGTAGCTACGTATAAGAAGTCTATTAAACTTGCTGCCCAGGGGCAAACTGCCGAGCAATCTTATCCAGCTCACAGACCATTTTAAAATCACATTTTTTATTGCCTTCATTCAGGGTGATACTGTATAGAAATTTTGCTCCATCAAATTGTTGCTGAAAATGAGCAAATATAGGCCACTTGTGATAATAGCCTGTCAACATTGTCCAAGAAGACAAGTTTTTTTGAATAAAGAGTTCTAGCTTTCAAGTTGATATTTCTGGTGGTGACAAGAATCAGTGTATTTTGTAAACTGTACAAACTGTGTATTGATTTAAGCACGCTGGAGCGATTAATGACACAATAGAGAAGTCCTTAAGGTGGGCACACAGACAAAGCACAATGAAGCTTGTTGTTCTTGTGTTATCTGTCAGCATGGCTCTCCCTGGGCTTTATTAAAAGGACACAAGCAGTGTAATTGTTTTGTAGTAATGTGCGTTTGCAGGCCATCAGCAGGTCAAGGGCATCAATCACCAGATTCCCCTCTAGCACTAGGTGGAAGGAACTTGCTTGATGTGTTGAGCCAATGATAGAAACCCACTAGGCTTCCTGTTGCTGCTGACAGACCATTTTTAGTTTATTCCATGGTGGAAAGCACTGAGAGGTACAGTAGAGGGGCCAATTCACTCACAGTAGGAGCACACATCTAGCATGGTTTCATTGATTACCAATAATGAATGTGCGGAGCCAGAAACAGACAGCTTATTCCTGAGCGAGTTCCACACATATAGAGACAAAGCCACAATATGCAGCAAGTAATCAGGGGCCGTTGCTATGAAACTGCAACCTCAGCTCTGGTCTATTATTAATAAAAATAGATTAAGTGGACCTGAAATACAAGAGGGTAAAATATCCTCCAATCACTTAATAATTGATTGTTGTCTGGAAAATACAAAATACTTTATGGAGGATGGTCAAAAATATTAAACAAACTTTCCAAATTATTTTTCTTTCTGCATGGTACATCCTGACATTGGACAACAATCCTGTTATTTTGCCTTAAGATTGTGACAGATTTTTCCAGGTTTTAGATACATTTACCCCCTCCAAAAGTTAAGGGAGGCGTGGGCTAAGCAGCAACTCTCATATGAGCTGTTTTGTCATAACAGAGTCTGTGGAGTTAGTGGATTATTTTAGATCACAGAGACAAAATCTCGGTGTAGAGCCCTGCTGCCATAGTAACGGATCTGAAACTGTAGAAATTGTGTGGATGACAACACATTACATCTGCTTTATCTGACTCTATTAGCATGAGCATGAGAAATTACAGAATAAAACCATGTTCATACACTGCAGTTAAGGGCACGCTTTCAGTCAGCAGCCTGAAACTTTGGGAGCAATGGTGGACCGCATATATTCCATTTAAACCAACACACGTCCCATCCAACCTATTATTTTTAATTCATATTCAAACAATATTATTGTTATTCACTCTGCTGGTTTTACTTATAGACCACCGAAAAGTGCATTGTTTTTATTAGAATGTATTATAAAAGCTTTTTAGAAATTTTCTAAAGCACATTTAATAGGATTATTTTAGTAAAACTAAAATATAAGCACAAGAAAACTAATGTTAAAATAAACCAGGTACCAAAATAACAAAATCCACACCTTGAACTGTCAATGTCTTTATGTTGTTTTAAATATGTATCTATGTTTAGTGTCTCAGACTATTGTCATAACTTAGACTCAAAATAACACCAAAACTTCACTGACAAACCATTTACACATTTACGACAGCAAGATAATGTTTACGCATCTGATGCACATGTGCACCTGGACTTAGATTCCACACCCATTCATATTTACTGATACTACTGCAGTTACAGCTGATTAATAGAGCTATAGTTTACAGATACACAGAATTATCTCCAGTGTTTGCAAGAAAAAGGCCCTGTTTTTGTGGGCTGCATCCAAATCCTCTTTCATCCGTCCTTGTCCGATAAAAGTGACCTTCATGAGATAATGTCTGTCCAGCTGTACTAACGTGAACTGAAATACTGTTTTAAACACTTGATGTTCCATGTAATATTATGTAGAATACTCCATAGAAGAAAGGATGAGGAAGGATTATTATGGAGGTGTTTTTTGTATTGATAGATAGATAATCTTTTATTATAGTGTCTTGCACACGAAGATGCCCAGCCCACATGGGCTTATAAGACACCATTTACAAATACAGAGACACAGGCCAACATCAGGCACAGAAGCACAATCATAAACAAAATAAAATAAAAAATAGAATAAAAAAGGAACAAGATCAAACACCAAAGCTCTCATTTAAATAGATGAAATTACGAGTTAAGTGTTTGGGGCAACTGTGAGGCAAAAAAAAAAAAATCTAAATAACTTTATGTCTGTGTCTGATTACTGAATGTCAAAATGTACAATCTTTTAAGAGTGAAAAGCCATGTTGTCTGAAGCCGTCTTAATAGAAACGTCACTCGTCTTGTTTATGAAAGGCAGCCACACCTCTGCCTCTGTTCCTCTGTGGTGTGGCTGTAGAAATCTCTTACCAACGCAAAATCAAACTGTGAAATGTATGATTTATGGATGTAAAGCCTTGTGAAGCTGGCAAATCTAATAGAAAAATCTTTAAGTTTGAGTAGAGAATACAAATACAGTATTAATCATGAGGCTGCACACAGTTGTTTAAAAAAGGGAGAGATGATTATTAGAAAGTGTAAATGTTATTGATTTTATCTTTGTCCCTCAGGAGTATACCATTGATGTGTTCTTTCGACAAAGCTGGAGAGACGAGAGACTGAAGTTTGATGGACCCATGCAGATTCTGCCACTAAATAACCTGCTGGCCAGTAAGATCTGGACCCCCGACACGTTCTTTCACAACGGCAAGAAATCTGTAGCCCACAACATGACCACTCCCAACAAATTGCTCCGGCTAGTGGACAATGGCACACTTCTCTACACAATGAGGTATGTAAACATAAAATGGTTAAATCTGGGCTGCCAAATTTTCAAACCACAAATGTAATGCAATAAAAGTAGTCCTGAGCCCTCACAACAGTCTGGTTGGCCAAAAAAGTTTTGACATGTGCATTCTATCGCCCCAGCATTTTCAGACAGAAATGTAAAGAGCAAAATGACTTAAAGTGCTCTTTCTTAAAGTGTTAAAAAAATATGTTTTACATATATATATATATATATATATATATATATATATATATATATATATATATATATATATATATATTTTACCAGTGTTGATCGAATGGAAATAATCATTGACATGAAAATAGAAAATGTTAATGTTTTGACAGTGGATAAAAATATCCCCAAGACAGCAATAAAAATCATTCTTACTATGCACTGCCACAATTGCATGGCCAGTATTGATTTCCATGGGCTTACATGATAGAGTAAATTTCATGTTCTTGTCCCTGATGAGTAAACTCACCGCAGTCCTAATTCTGCTGAGGTGCATGGACAATCACACTTGAACAATGGTGTTCTATTTTTGAGTATATTGCTCTAAAAAAACATGCAAAAACAACAATAAAAGAATCCAGTATCGGAAAGTAAGTCCTATGCATAAATTGGCCCTTCACAGAAATAGTAAAATTCTGCATTATTGCTGTTGAAAGAAATGTAAGGAGCTGTTCCATTTGTAAAAGTGTGACAGACTACTCTCACTCAAGCTTCTTACCAAAAATATCTGTTCGATCTAAATGTGATTTAACACAATTGGGAATTTTTGTTATAGAGAAAAGACGCCTTCTGCAACTTGATCGTTTTATTATTTCAAGATTAAAGTAACCTATCCAGTAGGAGTCAAGGGGTCATGATATGCTGAATATCTCAGTACTTTACCTCATTGGATTTAAAGATTGGTTACTGGCAGGTTTCCAAAGACAAAGACGCAAAGGCAAGATCGCAAAGACCACCAAATCTGTTTTGTATATGGGCGGCACGGTGGCACTCTCGCCTCTCAGCAAGAAGATTCTGGGTTCGAATCCTGAACGGAACAGGGCCTTTCTGAGTGGAGTTTGCATGTGTTTGCGTAGGTTTCCTCTGGGTACTCCGGTTTACCTAAAAACATGTGCAATAGTTCAGGGTGAATGAGTGTCTGTTTACGAGTGCGAATGTGGGACAACGGATGGAAATTAGCCCATGGCTACAATCCGGAGTGATGTGTTCATTAACATGTACTGTTCCAACCAAATAAACAATATATATATACAGTGATGACATTATAGGCTTCTCAAAGACTCAAGAACAGCACCTTCATTACATCGAGGGGTCCACAGAGTGCCTAACAGCCTCTGATCCAGTCACCACCAGTCACCATCGACCTCGGATCAGTTTACAGATTCACTGCAAAATCAGATACATTGGTTTTGGAGCAGTTCTCATTGAGCTCCCTTGCCTCTGGAGCTCTCCGTGGTTCTGAAGTCATAAACTAATTCGACACTTGGTTTTGGCAAGAGGAATTTTCTCAAACGGACCATTAGTGGCCATGGCTTTTGCGTTCAACTGCCCTAAGACTGCCTTCCTAATACGATGGTTGATGGCTTCCAACGTTCATGATCAGAGTACTCTGCAAAAAATAAACGTAATGCTGTCTGTCCCTGAGGGTCTCAAACATGCTACCATTCTGCTGCAGCTTCATGCAAGAAATTACCAAAGCCCAAGAGTCAGATCCCACCTATCCCATGATCTGAGCCCTCTCCGCATCCACTATACCAACTCCAACTGAATGTGTGGTAAAGATAGGGGTTCTTATAAGCATGGTTGATTCAAAAGCACTTCCCTGCAGTGTTCACGTGGTTTTGGTGACTGTCTATCCATACAAATCCACACATGCAGTATCTGTCAGCAAAAAAATGTTACAACGAGAAGTCGCCAGGACTATTACAGGGAGTCCTGGTGAGGATTTCATGAGTCCATTTCCATTCATCAAGGAGTGTTGATGGTGGTTGTGGACTACTTCGGCTTTGCTTTGAAGATAGTGGTGTGGGCAAGATTTTGAAGAATGATGGATACTCACATACAAAGTTCCTGATGTCCAATTGTAGACCACAGTCTACTAGTCTTCTCTTACTGTATGTTGGAAACCATCAAGTGGCTACCTGTGTTTCCGTTTACCATCAATGCGACATTGCAGGAGACCATGAATCTTGCTATGCTGGCTCTTGGCCTGCAAGGTTGAAATTAAAGTAAGGAGAAAATAGTTGTCTAACAGATTATTTGAAAGTGGAGTCCAACTTCCTTTGCTAAAACTAGTATGTGTCTTTTCATTGGGCTTAATGTTCATCATCTCCATTGGCACGCGTATTTGATGGAGTGTACTTGAATCGTGCAAGCACTGCCGAGGCCTCAGAGAAGTGGAATATATCGCTTTTGGATGTAGTACGTATCCGATAACTGTGGAAAACTTTCTCTGTGGACGCTGCTGGGTTCTCTCTGAACAAATACAATCTCATATTGCATCTGATTAGACGTTTAGGACACTAGGGACACTTTTGGGGATCTATTGAAGTTGCTAAACCTTGTCTAGAAATGTATATATCGTTGTGTGTGTGGTCAGGAATGGGTCATTCACTACTGCCATTGTTTATCCTAGGAAAAGACAGGTGAATTGTTTGTGTTTCCTTTATTGAGTTTTAAAGAATTTTGAGTTATGTCATGTATGAATTGTGCTATACAAACAAATATGCCTTGTACCTTGTGTTTGAGGACACAGTTAAAAGTAATCTAAACTAAAATCTTGCATATACTTATACCGAGTTAGTTTATGTTACTTCCATTCAATCATTTCAGATACAGACATTAGTAAATGTGTATAACAGCCAGAGCTCCATAAAGCAGAAGGTAGCCACAGCGCAGCACCAGGGGACCTGCTCACTTCCCAAATGTGCCACCAATTAGTCCAAATCTATAACCTCCTCTGTTAGAACACAGTCAGACAAAGGCACAAAACAGCGGGCTCACTTTTTTATTGTATCTTGACTTTGCTAAATGCATAAACATTAAGCTGTTGATACCCAAACTAACATTATTGAGTTTCTGCTTCACTAAGTACATGCTCTCTCTTGTTTCAGACTGACCATTCATGCAGAGTGCCCCATGCACCTAGAGGATTTCCCAATGGATGCCCACGCCTGTCCCCTGAAATTTGGGAGTTGTAAGTGAACTCAATTTGACCCCAAGAACATAACATTCTATATATGATTTGCCAGCAGTTATCCACTGTAGTTGAAACCTCAAAAATACTTTTATTTCCTGATATGTAATCCGAATAATACTTTTGTTCTAGGTTAGGCAGATCAATGCATTATTCTCATACATGTGAAATGTCAAAATATTTGGAGGAAATTAACAGAATTAACACAACATCAGAGAACCAGAGGCTTAAAAGCAAGGCTAATATTCAATAGAATTGCCTTTAAACTGTTAAATCCACATCTGAATGCCCACCACAAGCTTAAAAGAAATCATAATAGCCAGACTTTTATTTAATCAGACCAACGGGATACTTCTCCAGAAAGTCCAATATTTATCTAGGTTTACTAGTTGAGAAACTAGTCTTATCTATTTGATTGTGGTTTTGGCATGAACGCAGAAGAAACCCATCTCATCTGTGGAGCACTGGTGGGCAGCATCATGTTGTGGGGGCTTTTCACTGCAGATAGGACTGGTGCACACGAATGGCATATAAAAAAGGAAGAACGACACTGATATTTGAACCAACATTTCAAGACATCAGTGATGAAATGAAGCTTAGTCACAGACTGGTGTTGACCCTTTTGGAGATTGAAACATTTGGATCTGAGTTTTCCGTTACATATGTAATGCGCCTGAGTCACTATTATTTAGCATTTAGCCTAGCTTTAGCCATGTCTTTTGTCACTAACAGAGCACGTGGGGAGTAGAGCCACAAAATCTTTGCCAGCTATGACATTGGCTAACCAGAACGGATTACTTTACTATCGCATTCTCCATCTTGGCCAAAATACAAATTCGGCGCAAACTCTTGACGTCACTGTCACCTACCTACTCACCCACCTCCCCCGCTCGCTGATTGGTCGGATGGAATACAACCAAAGTAACTGCTGCCACTGAGATCAGACCCAGACGTTCATGTAAGGAAATAATAATGAACCGGAGTTTACGGATGGCTGAGGCCAGGCTAGTAGGGCAGGGGTCATCAACTATATTTGTCAGAGGGTCAGACTTTTACCCGACAGTTTCCTCAGGGGCCGGACTCCAAAAGAGAACATTAAATCAGATTCAGATTCATGAAACAATTGACACTGTGAAATCGATCAACTAAAACAGTTTCTTGTGCAAGTTACTTGGCAAGTTACTTTGAAAAAAAAGTTTGTTATATTACTTAGTTACTTCTGCAAGAAAGTAACTGAGTTTCATTATCTTTGGATTAGTTTGTGTCACAAAAAAAAGAGAACATTAACATAAAAGTAAAGTACTGTGTAGCCAAAACACTTCCTTCTGTTTACTACAGATGTTTACAAAGGTTTTTTTCAGTCAGTTCCATCCATCTGCACCTAATATTTTACGTAAAATGTTTCTGAAAGACGGCGACACTTTAGTAGCAGCATCTCTTCTACAAGTCTATTTACTTCCTTTGAGGTTTTCTAGCAGTGTCATTCAAGTCCAGATGCTGATAGTTGTGACCACGGCCGCCTCGTACTCAAAGTACTGCCGGTATCTCCATTCATTAAATGCTTCGTGGTCGTCCCCGCTATCATTATTTACAGTCTTCGTAATGTTTGATGTGGGCTTGATAGTTTATAAAAGCAATGATAATTTATTTTATTTCATGATGCCAATTCATTAAACAAATCACAAACAATATTAAAAGTACAGAATATAAAGCATTTTAAAATGACAATGAATAAGCCAGTTTAAAAAGGTGGGTTTTGTGATTTGAAAATGTCCAAGGAGTCTAACTGTCGCAGGTCAAGCGTTCCAGAGTTTAGGGGCAGAGAGAAGGCTCTGGCCCCCTTTGTGGCTGTTTCGACGGTAGGGACAGTGAGAAGAAGGTGGACAAGGTGGACAAGGTGACTCATGTATGAGGGGACCAGGTTATGGGGAGCTTTGAATGTGAGAAGGAGAAGTTTAAACTGGATTCTGTGGGCTATTATTACTATTGGTAGCGTTTTAGAATGATGAATCTTATTTTTTATTTTTGCTGCTAGTGGACACCTGGATTTCTCCTACGGTGATCAATAAAGTATCTATCTGTCCATGGACGAGAACAGGAGTGATGTGATCTGTTGATTTGTTCGGGTGATGATCCTAACTGCAGAGTTATGGACATGAACACCACATTGTACGGTCAAATCTCTCATACGTCACTCACGACAAAAGTCTCATGTCTCATAGTTTTGTATTGCATTGTAACGCTTCTTGCTTAAAAGACAGTAAATGTAATCACATTACTTTTTTTTCAGATTTAATCCCTTACCTTACGCGGTACTCAGAAAAAGTAACATAGTACAATACAGTAACACGTCACTTTTATAGCGTTACTGACCAACGCTACATCTCAATGAATGGTATCTTCTGCCAGAGGGAAGACGCTGGGACATGGCTTTTCCAGGGGCCAGAAGAGTCATTGTAGATTATTATTATTATTATTATTATTATTATTATTATTTAATGGAAAATTCACAAAATGTTGCAAAAACAGGAGAATGGCAGAGAAAATATGGAAGATAATAATCAAGTACGAAAATAATAAAAAAACCAAGCCAAAAATAAGTAAAAAAAGTTTTAAAACAATGATTTTTTTTATCCTCACAATTTTGGAATAGAGTTGCGGGCCGGATCCAACGGGTTGGCGGACCAGAGTCGGCCCGTGGACCGCCGGTTGATGAACAATTGTGGGCAGATCTGAAGAAGCTCTGTAGAAGGAGTGGGTCAAACCTCTGCCAATTTACTGTCAGTAGCTTGTGGAAGGCCTACCCAAAAGATTTATCACAAGTTAAACAGAAATATTACCAAATATTAACCATGTGTATTCAGACCTCTCATTCTCTGATGATTAAAAGCTTAAATAAATCTCAATTTCCTCCTTATATTTTGACCTTTATCTTGGCCCGGACCTTTAGGTATTTCTCCAACTGACCAAGCACAGAAAGTTTGGAAAGAATTGAGACAAACATGGATGTGTATATACACTTCAGGTTTCAACTGGATTGTTGAAAAATAAATGTAGAAAATTCATTCTGTCTTCTTATGTTTATGGCTTTTAGGTTCTTCTAATAAGACAATTAAAGCAAAACAAAGCTAGTACTGCTTAAATACCTCACATGTTTTGGCGGTACACTTCCGCCTTCATCAGAGGTGACACGTGATGGTGTGACGCGTCTCTTATCAGCTGTTGTTGCCGGAAGCAGTCAGTCTGACAGATCTCACTGCAACGGCAGCGCGACTAACAAGAGCAACCAAGGAAAAGGCAACACAGGAAAACCTCAAATCAGCAATATCAGACCACTGCAAAAGAGAGAATCACATCATGGACTGGGACAATGCAAAAATAGTAGGAACAGAAGAACATAAATACAAAAGATGGATACGAGAGGCGATCGAAATCAGGAAGCGGGGAACACGGACCATCAACAGAGACGAGGGGGCCTTCACCTTGGCTCACACTTGGGACTCACTTCTCCAGAGACCACAGCGCGGCGGGGGACGTGGTCAGTCTGATGGATCTGTGAGATCTGTCAGACTGACTGCTTCCGGCAACAACAGCTGATAAGAGACGCGTCACACCATCACGTGTCACCTCTGATGAAGGCGGAAGTGTACCGCCGAAACATGTCAGGTATTTAAGCAGTACTAGCTTTGTTTTGCTTTAATTGTCTTATTAGAAGAACCTAAAAGCCATGGATTGTTGAAAGTTACATAAACAGGGAATAAACAGTAGAAATAATAGGTTAAATTATTATTTCAAATAGTTAATATTGCTGAACAAGTACAATATTAGGCTCCCATGTTTTATTGAGATAATTTGCAATGCAAGGTAAGGAAAGTTTATTTGTAGGGCACAGTTCATATACAGTCCGAGAAGAAGCCTGTCTCACACTTTCAGGAAGACTTTTCCAGATTTTAGCAGCATATGTCAAAAACGCTGTCTCTCCATTTTTAGTTCTGACTCTGTGCACCAGTGGTAGGCCAGTCCCTATGGTCTTCAGAGTCCGAGTAGGATCATACTGCACCAGCACGTCACAGATGTACTTTGGTACGAGGCCATGAACAACTTCATAAGCAGAGCTGCTTTAAAGACCTGAGGACTGGACTAATGTGATCATACTTCCTGGTTCAAGTCAGACTTGAGCTGCAGCACTTTAAATATACTGACGTTGTTTTACAGCTTGTTAAGAGAGCCTAGTGAGCAGCCATTACAGTAGTCTAGCCTACTGGAGACAAAAGCATGGATAAGAATCTCCAAGTCTGCTTTAGACACTATTTCTTTTTATTCCAATAGTTTGTTAGGTGGTTAAAGATGCTGATGTTACTGTCAGGCAGAGTCCATTATTACCCGCTAGGTTTTTGGGAGAGAGACTGCAGGTGATAGATAACAATCTCTCTTTGTTTCTGGGACTAAAGACAATATTTTCAGAGTCTTTTTAAACAACATGGTGAAAACCTACAACATTTTGGCATCATACAAACATTTTCCCAGAAATATATAAAAAAACAAAACACCTTTTACATTTTTTATAGAAGGAAAAAATGAATGCAATCAATTATGTGTTTCTTTGCAGACGCCTATACAAACAATGAGGTGATTTATCATTGGACTCAGGGGGATGAGAGGTCGCTGGCGGTGGCAGAGGATGGCTCTCGACTAAACCAGTACGATTTACTGGGACATGTCATTGGCAAAGAGACCATCAGCTCCAGCACAGGTACTACTACTACTACTACTACTACTACTACTACTACTAATCTGAAAATCTGTATACTACTCCTACTCCTACTTACTACTACTACTACTACTACTAATCTGAAAATCGGTATACTACTACTACTACTACTACTACTACTACTACTCCTACTTACTACTACTACTACTAATCTGAAAATCTGTATACTACTCCTACTCCTACTTACTACTACTACTACTACTACTAATCTGAAAATCGGTATACTACTACTACTACTACTACTACTACTACTACTCCTACTTACTACTACTACTACTAATCTGAAAATCTGTATACTACTCCTACTCCTACTTACTACTACTACAACTACTACTAATCTGAAAATCTGTATACTACTACTACTCCTACTACTACTACTACTACTACTAATCTGAAAATTGGTATACTACTACTACTACTACTACTACTACTACTACTCCTACTTACTACTACTAATCTGAAAATCTGTATACTACTCCTACTACTACTACTACTACTACTACTACTACTACTACTAATCTTTATATCCTGCCTGTTCATTAACATGTACTGTCCCTATTAAATAGATGAATTAATAAGAGGAAACAAATAATAATAAAAATAAACATGTATCATACTACAAAACAAATCTCAGTACTCTACCGCTCTATTTTAAGGGAGCACAAAATGGAGATTGTTTTGACCACATCTTTATTGTTGCGGTGCTTTTGAGGTGCAACTCTTGTGTCAAGACCTTCAAAAGAATGAGACCGACAAATATCTCGGTGCAGGAGCAACATTCACACAGAGGCCAAGATGAAACCTTTCTCAAAAGTCTTCCGGCTTCTGGTTGCAGGGAAATCTAATTTTTCTTAAACCTGATGGGGTTTAAAGAGAGCAGAGGGAGCGGCAGCTTTGAGCCAGTTCAGCTCGAGTTAGAATCTGCTCAAGAAAACAACACCTCGGGGAGTGAGGAACTGTTTTCTCATATCAGAGCTACACAGATTACAGGCATGGCAATGAGAGCAGCCGCTGCAGGGCTCTGAACTCTGTCATTGTGCTGCCATCATTGCCCACCGCAGAGCAAGAAGGACTTCAATATCAAGTGCTCCCAAAGATACAGGGGAATAGCAAGATATTGAACTTGTAATTCAGCCTGAGCCAAAGTTAGTAAAAAATATACACATTGTTTTGGGCAAAAAGCACCAAACACAAAACTGATGAGGCTTTGAGGGATGTCCATGGCCCTAAAATGATGCATTATAATTGTTAACTATATAACTGTACTTTATCATTTGCACAAGCCAAAGCTTTACAATTAATTATACATTTATTTCTCTTCTCGTGTTTTTTCACAGGCGAATATGTAGTGATGACAGCATATTTCCATTTGAAAAGGAAAATTGGCTATTTTGTGATTCAGACGTACCTGCCGTGCATCATGACTGTCATACTGTCTCAGGTCTCCTTCTGGCTAAACAGGGAGTCAGTTCCTGCACGGACTGTATTTGGTGAGTGCTGAACCATGTCCTTATTCAACACTAACACAATAAATGATTCATTCAACAGGGCTGCTAAATTCAGTGCTTTTGTCAACGCTGCTTGCTTTAAAATAGGGCTAAGTGTTTGTTAAAATGCACAAATAGTCAATGCTATAAGGACATATACAATGTGTTAACAAGAAAATGTGGAATTTGAACAAACGTAAATTCTATCAGACAAAATGCCCCCATTTCCATAAACCAATCTAATCAAAACAAGAATACATAATTTTTCACTTAATTGAAAAATGATATTGCTCAACAAGAATATCTTTAATATATAATATCTTTTATTGTGGTTTAAGAATTAGAATTATAAAGGTAAAGCCTGCTGCAGTCCATCGGAAACTAGCCCCTGATGATGAACACAGATTAACCCATCTAGGCTTTATACTTTTAAATCGAAATGCTAATGGAAATATTTAGAGCCAGGTAAGCGGTAAAATGTCCATGATGGTCTAATCCTTGTTGTTTGTCACATTCAGTGGTGCACTTGACCGTAGCCTCTGTATAGTGATTATAATAATGTGGAAACACATTATTATAGGTCTACATGTAATTTATTCACTTGCGCACACTTCATGCTAAGAACATTGTCTGCTTAGATCAGCTTCACTTGGACAAGACGTTATGTGCCCTGCTCGTCTTTAGTTTTTGTTTTGCTGCATAAGTTACAGTGTGACCTCGAACCCCAGTGTATGGATGTTTGTTGAATAACTGCAGAGCTATTAGCTGGAAACAATATTTATAAAGTACTATAGTGTTAAATAAAATGCTCCCTAATGATTCACAAAATAATGATTAAACGATAGTGACCAACATACATCTAAAATATACACTCAGCTCAGCTCTGTGGCCTAAGATTGACTTTGCTTTTATAAATATGTCAGATGAAGATTCATTTTATCTGTCATACATAATGGGAAACCATGGAGAATAGTGCTGCATAGAAAGGGACATCAATCTTTTTCAAATCAACCACCTTCATCAATGAGTCCACCTTGTTCTTCTACAGCAAAATAAAAATGTATATTTTTATTTTCCCTTCATGGGACATTTTGGCATATAAGGTGATTGCTTTTATATGCTCAGTTGGGTAGCAGTACCTTTCTGTGTACAGTGTGTAGTATGAAGGCTGCAGAGCGTAATGAGCTTGGACATTTTGGCATTCATTCCTGAAATTCATGTTCGGAATAATTAATTTGGGCCATTTGTCACTCGTTCTTTGATATCTGTGTTGTTATCCAGATGTCCACTGTCCTCTACAACTCTGCATGGATTTTGTCAAATGGTCTTTTTTTTACCAATGTTTGTGAATTTCTTATTGTAAATGTATACGTCTGTTGTCATATTTTATTGTAGAGAATTTAGGAACTTCAAAACATGCTACAAGGCAATTAATTAGAGAAATGTGTGTCCATAATCTCTACAATGAAGTGACAGGTTTATTGTTTTGACATAGTGTATTTTCCTGGCAGTCACATACTTCCTATTCTCTGTACTGATCCTTTGATTTCATCCTCAGGGGTCACGACTGTCCTAACCATGACCACCCTGAGCATCAGTGCTAGAAACTCCCTCCCTAAAGTGGCCTATGCCACGGCCATGGACTGGTTCATGGCTGTGTGCTATGCCTTTGTCTTCTCTGCATTGATTGAGTTTGCAACAGTCAACTACTTCACCAAACGCAGCTGGGCATGGGATGGGAAAAGAGAGGGCATGGAAATAAGGGTAAGTCACTCTACTTCAATTTCTTCACCAATATCAATCAACACGAGGACACGAAACACAAGCCTTTTTCCTATTTTTTGAATCAATAGTGCTGCCTACGCCTGATTGGTTTATTATGTAAATCAGAATTATGAAGATATGAGTCACCAGCAGACAAAGTCGGGGGAAGTGTCTGGTTACATGTGTGTGGAGTGCAGATTAGGTTAGTGTGCTCTTTTTAATCACGAGGACAAATTGTATGTAAATTGATACTGAATTGTATCCTTAATTGGCTCAGTTCAAATAAATAGATCTCAAAATCAAAATTATAAGAAAAATCTACACGCACCAAAAAGCAAAGCACACTATTATAACAAACTTGTTAATCCTCAACTTCACTATTTGTGAGAGAACAGGGCACAGTCCCCTCTTAAAGTGGATGGATGCATTCCTTTTTCGAAAATATCTAGCAAGCATTTATTTATTCATTACCTGCCAGATAGAACAGCATGGCGAACCCAATTACAGCAGTAACCCTCTCTTGCCCTGATTTGAGTCTACAAAAAACACCCTAAAAAATTGTGCGTGTGAAGGCAATTCCATTGGGCAACTTCAGGATAGAATTTAATATATTGTTACATCGAGTAAACATCTGGGCCATGTGTTTCTTTGTTCTTCTAAAAATCAAGCATAGTTGTATTCAAATAGGGCATGCTGCTGGAGTGTCTGGCTCCCGAAATGGAAACTGTGATGAAATCGCATAAATAAATTCTGACCTGACAAGCGCTCAAAATAATCTCAGTATGGAATATTTTGGCAATATTGCTTTGAAGCTATACAAACTGATCAAGTCACATTTCTCTTGCTATCAAATGGGAAATAAGAAGACTTTGTGGTTAAACCTGATGAGACAGGTCCAAGAACATGTTGTCCCATGTTTGTCTCAATATTCCCTATATTGTAAAAACTACAAAGTTCAGCCACGATTCACAGCTGTCAACATATTAACATCCAGATACTGTATCTTCTTGCTCACAATTATGGTCTTAATATTCTCACTACCATGAATATATTATTCACAATTGCAATGCTTTGAAAAAGTATTTATGTCAAATTCCTTATTGGCCACATTTTTGTATTGGATTGTTTTTTTTTAAAGACAAACAGAAGGTCGTTGACAAAGCAAAATGATGCCCTTCACTTTTTCGAAAGAAAGAAAGTGTGACATTCAGTTCCCTTTCCCCTAATATTTTATTTAGAAGTTTTCTGATTAATGGTCAAAAAGACAATATCACCAAACAGCATCATAGAGGCAAAGGAACCCAGCAGAGAGGCCAGGAATGGAGTTTACGGCATGGTTATACCATGCTTTGTGCACTGGCTCTGGTCAGACAAGCTCAAAATTGAGTTTTGGTCAAAATGAAAAACACTATTAGGCCTTTTCCACTGTACTTTCCTGGCTCTACTCAACTCCACTCAACACACCACTCCCCCAATTGGGTCCAGTTAGCACTGTTTCCATTTTCATTGCCAACTGGTGCTGAGATGTGTTGGAGTTTATGGGCAGATCTAGGGGGAAACATCACAAAACAAATGGATTCACCTCTCAATTCAACTATCCCAAAACACAGCTACAATCTCGACAGCGTACAGAATAATGTATTTTCCAACTCACAGAGCACCTGAAACAGCATCACGAGGGACATTGGACAAATGTATGTGTTTCTCTGATGATTTTGAACATGTGTTTGTCTCAAAGCTAGACATTTTACCTTTTGTAGGAAATAGATACAATGTGTGATATTTAGCAAAACTTGTATTGTGTGTTTTGGGCTAATAGGGCCCTCTTAGTTTCTGGGTACCTAATCCCGTGTGTCTTTGGTCTGCACGTTTGTCTCATGTTTAAAATCATAACATCTGATGATAAAAACAAGTAGGCTTCTCTGCCTGTGTTTTCTCTAGCAGTTGTGACTTCTTCCACCCAATCATCAGTACTATAAAAGCACCTGCTCCAACGGGCCAGCACCCAGGTCACTTTGAGTTGAGTCAAGTAGAGCCAAAGAGGTGCATTGGAAAAGGGGCTTATAGTGGAAAACTACTTATAAATCTAATCACAATATCCCCACTGTCAAATCTGGTGGTGGCAGCATCATGCTGTGGGGCTGCAGGGAAGGGGAAAAGCATATAGATGCATGTACCATCATTACAATTTCCCTGAACGTCAAACCTTTTAACCAAAACAAGTGTTGGAATGGCCCACTCAAAGTCCAGACTTATCCATACGAGAAACTTTGCATCTAATTAGCTAGTAGAGACATACGCCAAAAGATTTGGATCTTTAATTGGAGCAGAGAGGGTTCCAAAAAGTATTAACTCAAGAGCTGAATACTTTTCAACCCAATTTTTCCATTTTCAGGTTAAAAATAAAAAAAAAATAAAAAAAATATGTAATGTATTATTTTGCTTAGTGAGTTACGTTGTGTTGGTCATTGTGTAAAACATTAATTTATTGATGAAAATATTTTAACAATCAGCCTTCCTTTATAGAGCCCCTCACAACACAGAAAGTGACTAATCACCATCCTTGTTATGGTTGTAATGAGACAGAATGTGGAAATGTTTATGTGGTATATATACATTTTCAATGTACTGAAAAGTATATGTATTACAGAGGCACACAAAGATCATACATTTGAGTATTCACAGGGAAAGCATGTATAATTTGTTTTTTAAGCACCAAAAGGTACACTAAGGACAACAATTAATTGCCCTCAAGTGAAGTGTAACCAGATATTTTTTTCTCAGACCCACAATGGGCTAATGCTCCATGGATAATACAATAAAGAACAAAAATTTAAATTTCAAGAGAGGTCTTTTGGGAATTGTGTCCCACATTTTTCACTGAAACCAATTTAAACATCCTCCTTCATCCCTGCTGTTCCCAGGTGAATACTGGGTTATTGGAGATGGTTCCTCTTTGCCACACACATCCAAGAAAAACTCAACATGAGAAAAAGGTTTACCCCTACAGCTGCACCACATCATTCACCTATTCTATTTTTGTGACTAACAATGATGTGACATGAGCCACAGAAATTCCGTTTTAAACACAGTATTGTTTACATTACCATAAATATGTTTACACAGTGGATATATACTGTAGCAGGAGGGAGAGTCTTTATTTGCCCTTTGGCTCTTTGACTTTGATTCATTTAATGTCTGTAGCAAGTTAGTTATAACAACATGTTTACGGTTTTATGACCCTAAGTTTAAAAGAAGGATATATTAATCAATTATTCAATTTTTCTTGTTGTTTTGATAGTAACACTATAACAACCAGCATAATGAGCCTGCCCTGGACTCCAGCTTCTGTAGAATCTGAGCACAATGTCAAGTCTAAAGCATTTATTCCCTTTCTTCATTTAACAATTTAGTTTGACAAACGATCATTCTAATTAGCTTTTCCCTCACCAGTGAAGGTGAACTTATTACAGAAATGAGCCTGTGGGGAATTTGGTAAGAATAAAAGGCTGTATATTTTTGGCACTGTGGCACGATTGTACAACACAATATCATTATGTGCTGCTTTCACTGGTGAGCTGATGAATGCCAGGGTTCAGTTGTATCATGAGGATTCACACCTGCAAAACAAACAGCCACATCTACCGATGACAACAGTGGCATAAACTTCAACAAGCGTCATAAACATTCTTCAAAGTAAACCTAAAATAGGTCTGTGCATGGCTCATGTTAGATAATGTAGCTCTAATATAAAAAAGACCATCATACTGACTGAATTTTAAAGCAGAAACAAAAATACACACTGGAATTTGTACCGCAGGTAACGGCATCAATCACTCAACTCTCAGCACAGGATCAAAAAATGCATCAACATTACTGATAATATCAATCATAATAACCCTACATGAAACTTTCAAAAGCCTTGTCTTCACCTGCTGAGATAAGTCTGTTTGATGGAAGGGAGGTGAGACGGTACCATAATAACCGATACCATTTGGGAAAGTGCACGGATATCCAAGGGGTATCAGTGTGACTGCCTGAGTACTTCAGGAAGCTGTAAGCTCACTATTCCTCTGTTTAGATTTTAAAAGTGTTCATGGTTGTGCACTACAGGGAGTGTTGTGTAGAAAAGCATGAAGAATGACATTGTCCTATTTCTGCTCACATTTCTGCACTACACCTAAAGCTTGACACTGCTCACTAACACCACTGTAATGCTACTTCTAACACCCTGTATGCATAAACAGCACTGCTTATGCTGAAGGCATTCATCACATGCACCGCCACATGGAATCTATGTGCTTCTAAATGTGAGTGTATATGTTAACTTTAGTCAACATTTGGCCATGGCTGTGTGTGGGGGGATAACAATAACATAAATACTATGGTAGGTGAATATTAGGTTAATTAGGGGTGTGAGAGTGAAGCACTTTGGAGCATATGACTCACAGTTTAGACCTGATGATGGAACTGAGGGCACACACTGCATGCCACACTGGAATCTTAAACTGTGTCCAGTGATCAGAATTCTTCTCATATTGCACCACAAACTTTTGAGGTTGACAGGTCTTCTGCTGGAGCAAGTTTGGCTGGGAGCACCAATTTTGCAAATAAGATTGTGTCTACCCTACGATTAGCTATAACATGAAAGACAGTATAATTATTTGGCTCTGGTAGCGAGGGGAGGGAAGTTCCTCCAGCTAGTGTTATCACACACAGCCTTTGTGTTTTTTGTTCAGTCTCAGGCGATGTGTTGACACAGGCCTGGCTGCTCTCCTTGACTTGGTTTGTCAGACATGTTTACAGTGAATGTTGTTATTCTCTGTTTCAAATCCTGCTCTGTTCAGCTCTTGTTAGCACTATCAGGTGCCAGTCCAGCCAGGCTCTGCACAAAGGCAACACTTTTTTGACATGACCCTTTTCTGCAATCAATATTTGTACTGTATATGATGCAGATTTTAATTGACAGAAGTAATAGTAGTGTGTAAGTTGGGTCAATTTAATATACCTGGTAAACTTTTTTTCTTTTCTACTTTTCTTTTCAGGAACCGTTTCAGGCTAACATGGCCAGGATTAAAGATATGGTTAGGCTTTTGTTTTGTTCTTGTGTGTGTCGTGTCTCGTGGTGTTGCTTCTATTTCCTCTTTATGAGTTCAAATGGAAGTATAGTGAAGACTGGTCCTTCAGCTCCTGACGTCCTTTACTTTATTGCTTTCTTTTTTCAGAGGAGAGAATCGACTGTTTTGACCAAAAAAGCAAACAACACCTTCAACATTGTCGGAACAACCTACGCGCTCAAAGACCAGGGTTTGACGACCATTTCCAAGAGTGCACCTGCAGCAGCATCAGTCAAACATACCATGAGAGGCATGGATGACATTTACACAGAGGCAAAGAAGTCCTACAACCGCGTCAGCATAGTGGACAAAATCTCACGCATCATTTTCCCGGTTCTCTTCTTTGTCTTCAATCTAGGCTACTGGGCCACATACGTCAACAGAAAACCAGCTATTATGAAGGCTAACAACCCAAATGGAATCTGACCAAATCAAACTATAATGTGGTTCAGAGCATTGGGTTTGCAGGAAGCCAAGTTCATTCCCTCATTCTCTGTGTGTGCGCAAGAGTTCAAAGACATGCTCTGTTGTTTAATACGTACGTCTCTTTTCTTAAGGATTTGATACTTTGCACGTCCATTTAAACGGAAGGCAGATCTCCGCATACAGATTCACATGTACTTTTGGACATTAGAGACAGTGCATTCTTAAGATGTTGCGTTTGCGAATACATTATTTCTTGATTTCAGGTTCTGGTACATGCCCTGTACCTAATTTATCAAATGTTTCATTGCGATTTGTGTCTTAATTTTGCTTTGACATGTTTTAACCTGTGAAAAGTTGAAGAAGCATAGAATCAGTGTTTTAAAGTAGTTCAATTGAGGGATCCATCCATTTAAAAAACAAACCTAATGCCAGCAAGGCTTGGCAGCTTCACTGTGCACTAAAAACATTATTAATTGTCATATGTGTCTGGCCTTCAGCGCTCACAGAATATCAACAACCCAAATGCAGCTTCATCGGAAATTGGTTTCACATCCATGAGCCTGTGTGCATTTTCTATTCCAGAGATTCTTATTGTTTTAACTGGCTGAGTGCCTTGGTGAATACTAGCAACACAAAGGATGAAAAAGCAGCTCTGACACAAGACACATGACAATGCAAAGGACAGATCTGTCTGTATATAACATGTAAATAATGGCTGGTACCGACTAGCCCAATATGGTCGAGCTTCTCTCGTCACCAGGCGTTTAGGTTTAAAGCCAGTTAAAAGTCAAGGAGATTGGACCCACTCCATAAGAACTATCAAGTGCATTCATGTTATGCTGTCATTAACAATCATCAATCCAAGTCCCCAAAAGTCCAGATTGCCTGTCTTTACTGGGATGTAGGCACTCTTTGTTTTGCATTGTCATAACATTACTGGAAGAGATGCATTCCTTGTTTTCCATCAGAAATTCGTTTCCTGCCCCTCTACTTTTGAGTGGTCAAATCAGTATTGCCACATGGTGACTATGTCACTGTGCATATTCAAGTACAAACTGCACGTTCTTTTAAAATAAATTAGACCTTCAAATCCACAATAAGAAGTCTCTTCAGCTCTACAACTTTACTTTGACAAGTATGTATCTGTTGTGCATTTCCGCTTGGAATTTTCTTGTTTCTTTGTTTTGCTGTTTTTATAGCTTCATATATATATTTTAATCTATTGGTTAATTTCTATAAGCACCTGCTTAACTTTCACTAGCAATAGATAATTGTATGAGCAGTGTTGTAGTCCGATGAAAGTTTGTGACAGTCATAGATTAATGCATGACAAATGTGTGCACTCATGTCTGTGAGCTCCACTAATAATGTTTGTCTCTCATTATGTCTTATATGTGTCTGCTCCATCCCTCGCCATCTGAAAAGCACCTCTGCTAACTGATTTGAGGCTAATTCATGACTGGCACAAAGATCTGAAAGTGTTTTACCTTTGTTTAACTCTCATTATAAGGTATATTCTGATGCAAAACAGCAGCGATAAGCCCACCCTTACTCAACCACAGGAGTTTCAATAATATTACAACATATGAAAGCTTAATGATTAATATAACTTAATCTAATAAATCCATAATATTCTATTGAATTGTGGCATTCAATAAAAATATGAAATGCAAATTGAATGTGAAATATACAAATGCACACCAACTATATTTAAAAGTCCCCAGTGTCTGTAGACAAAAAGAGGATGAACACAATTATCCTTTGCCTATCACAATCAGGTAAAACTTGTCAAAAACTACTGAGAAGGATAATCTATGCTAGAATTAAAAAAGGAATGTAAAAATCTATATTGTTTTTATAGTCATCGCTCTATTATTTATTTTTCTGTTTTCAATAATGTCATTATCAAGGGTCAGATTGAGCCTCAGCAAAAAAAACGCCATCCAATAGGATAAAGTACATTTAAAGTATACATATATTTATGCTATACCTTACAGCATTAAATATTCTATGTTTTATACAACATTACATGTACAGCAAAGATGCAGATCTCCTCAGCAGTTGAGAAGATAATGAAGATAATGACAACTGCAGAGAACAGTGTAATAAAGTTGTGAATTTGTAGATACTGTGAAATTATTCCTACAGTTTAAGTAAACATGGATATGTCATTTGAATTATTTTTACATGAGATAATTTCTGCTGTCTTACAATGATCTCTGTAACACTTGGGGTTATGGTATTTGTTAATGTGCAGTAGAGAACATTGACGAAGAGGAAACTCATGGACTGAAACCAAGTGTGAATGAGCAGCGCCTGCAGCAGAGCCATGCACTGTTTTCACTGCATGTCTATATGCACTGAGAGATCAAAGGTTTCCGCAAACACAGCTCCGGGATGAGGACTTGTGTGGGGAACAGCTCTTTATGTTCAGAAACAGGACTCTCTCATTATGTGTTTACTGTATGAGATGTAACAAATGGAAATAGGAATTAAATGGGTATGTAGTATTGTATTGACCTTGAAGTTACACGACCCTTCAGTTACATTTAACTTTGAAATTTAACATTGAAATCTATACAGTTTACGGTTGTATGTTTCTACAGAGAAAAAGCTGCAACAAAGCAGTTGCTTTTTACCCTGCTGTGACAACGGGCCTCGTTCATGAAACGTTCACTCAACGGTGTTGTTATGCTATTCACAAAAATGCACTCATTTATCACAGATAGATTTCTGGATCTTAAATGTTCTGATCTAAAGCAAGAAGTAATTAAGAAAGATATCAGAGCCCTCTGAAGGGCCACAATTGTAACATTTACCTGCATCAATAAGAAGGTAACTTATGTCCTCTGTGTTTTCACTTTGTTTTTTAAAGTAGTGAGTGTTTTAAAACATTCTAATGTCAATGCAAATGAGCAACGTGTTTATAACTGGATATTAGTGAATTAAGTGCAACTCTCATTAATGTGGCTGCTAATACTTTTCGTGAATCTAGCGCGCTTTCTTAGTATCTTGTTAAAATGGAAGTTGCTATTATTCTTTATAAGAAAACGTGAATGAATGAGGCCCAATGCACCTGCATATAACTGCCATTCTGAATTATAGACTTTCAGCTCAGATGTGTTGCATTATTTCACTGGATTGGAAATGAGGCTACTGTCATTTCTACTTTGGACATCTCAGAGTAGGCACTAAGGAAACAGTCTCACTCTCTGTGTGTAACAAGGTCGTTGCATTAATGGTCGCTTGCGACACCAGGCAAGGAACTGCTCAGTCTTTTAGAGAATGTTATAAAGATATGTGGCTTGAAATCGTATTTTTTTAATTCCTTGCCAAACACTGCCACAACTATAAATTATTTTTAATGTCACAGTGTATCAAATGTACAGTCCACATGTCAGCACAGGAAACAATAGTGCTGTAGTTTTCGGCTCCTAAAGCTGCACAGGGCCATCATTATGTTATAGCAAAAAACTGTGGCGTTTTTTCACACCTTGCCAGATACATGGTTGTCTCTTGCCCCCTATATGGAATTATCAGGCTGTCTCCTCGCTTTTGCCTGCTTAAATAAATAAGTCCTGATAAATTCCAAATGGTTTTTGCACCACTTGTAGTACAGTACAGTGCTTTGTGCTTGTATGATGCACCTGTGTTGTGCTTTTGTCTGGTCTTAAACTGGGAATATAGACCCCAAGATAAATTTAGATACATATGACCTCTGAGCAGCTATTGTTTTTTTTTGTAAAGTAGTGTAGGCCTAAAGTAGCCTATAAGAATTATTATCAGCATGAGCCTATACTGAAGATAAAAAGAAAAATATGACATGTTTCTTCAGATTAAAATAGAAAATATGCCCCAACAAATTCATGCAGAAAAGACACCAACGTAGACAGATTTTAGAACCGTATGATCTTTGTTATTTCCTATAGCCATAAATGTTAACGCTAATAATCCAAATAGGGCAACAGCACATATTTCTGACATGACACGAGCATGTGTATTTTTCACCAAGTCAACCATAAGAAGCTTTGTATGTGGAGAGAGCTGATGAGTTATCTCTGCTGTCTACTGTTAGAAAACACACAATGTTACCCAACTGTTCAAACCTCTGTCGACCGTTCTTTTATTATGGCTAGTTGTGGGGCTACCGATGAACTGTCCAACTATTTATCCAGGAGTTGCTGCTCTTTACAGTGAATAAAGATTAGGTGCTTTCATCGGATTGTTGTGTGATTATTAAAGAGGTGAAAAGTAAATGTTTTTCAAGGGCATGTCAGCTCATTCTGCAACAGGGAGATCTTAGTCAGCACCTCAAAGTTACCGGCATAATTCAGCAGCAGTTATGATTGTTTTGACAACAAACTCGTGAGAACATTCACATGATGACTCGGAGACTGTCAGTAGATTTCTGCTTCCCTGGCTTACAGTAATGAGCTTGCCTTATCTAAGCGGGTCAGTTGGGTCTGGTGCCGATCATGCTACCTGCAAGACTATGCGGAGAGAAGCAGATGGTGTGAAGTTATAATTCAGGTTTGTGGAAAGCCAAAACCATATTTCAATAAAAAGGTTTTTCAAGTTCTGTCAGAGCTTTGAATATAACGTTATTTCATTCTGAACAAAAGCTTACACTCTGGTGATTTTGTTCACATTGATAGAAAAATATACAAGAATAATTACATTTGGCAGATTTCTCAAAGTTTGACCTTACAGAAGAGAACATTATTATTAATAACAGAAGTATAAGGCGCAGCGTCTCTAATTTCAGTCTTCTTCTATTGACTAATACACTTTCAATTGAAATATATTTTAGGTTGTCCTCCAATCAAATTCAGATATTTTCAGGAATGACAACAATACTTTCTGGACAAAATAATCAAAAAGAAAATAGCGCATTTGGCTCCATTGCCCAATGTGCTAAGAAATCTGGGTGTTGTCTTTGAGAGTTCTTCCCAGACCCGGAACTGTGATACTTTTATTAAATCTTCATGTGACTGTTGTCC